TTTTGTGTAAAGGCTGCTTGATGTCAATTTCTTTTTATGAGGGACTTATAGAATAGGAGAATAGTAAATAGCTCTGTTTTGCTGTTGCCAGTACTTCAAATTTACAATTGATTTCTTTAACTGTTAAAATGGAAATGCAATTCAACTAGCTTTCTGATCTTACCTCTCTCCTTGCCTCCTATGTCCTAGGAGAACTCTCTTTCTCTTTGAATGACTTGCTAATTTTTAAATATGTGGATTCTAGAATTTCCACAGCACCTCACGTTTTCTTTTGGGTTTAATCTGTAGGAGAAATGGCTCTCGACATCACTCAGTTTCTATTGGCTGCTCAATCAGCAGATGCTAAGATTCGGTCTGATGCAGAGACTGGTCTTGGTCAGTTCCGAGAACAAAACCTACCAGGCTTTCTTCTGTCATTGGCTGCTGAGCTCTCCAATGATGGAAAACCCACTGAATCTCGAAGACTGGCTGGTATTGTGCTTAAGAACTCACTAGATGCAAAAGAATCTGCTAGGAAAGAACAGCTTGTTCAACAATGGCAGGCAATTGATGCTCAATGTAAATCTCAAATTAAAAGCTTGCTCTTGAGCACCCTAGGTTCGTCTGTCCGTGAGGCAAGTCACACTGCTGCCCAAGTAATTGCAAAGGTGGCTTCGATTGAAATTCCCCAGAAACAGTGGCCAGAGCTCATTGGGTCGTTGCTTGTTAACATGACCCAACAAGGCAGGCCTCCGTCCCTGAAACAGTCAACCCTTGAAACACTTGGCTATGTGTGTGAGGAGATATCGCACCAAGATCTTGTCCAAGATGAAGTAAACTCTGTTCTCACTGCTGTTGTGCAAGGTATGAATGTTGAGGAGCAAAGCCCTGAAGTCCGTCTTGCTGCTACTAGGGCTTTATATAATGCTCTTGATTTTGCTCAGACAAACTTCGGTAATGAGATGGAGAGGAATTTTATCATGAAGGTCGTCTGTGAGGCAGCCATTGCAAAGGAGACAGAGATTAGACAGGCTGCATTCGAGTGTCTTGTTTCTATTGCATCAACATACTATGAGTTGCTTGAACCTTACATGCAGACTGTCTTTGAGTTGACAGCAAAAGCAGTCAGAGAAGATCAGGAGTCTGTTGCTCTTCAAGCAATTGAGTTCTGGAGTTCTATCTGTGACGAAGAGATAGAATTGCAAGACTATGAGGTTCCTTACAGTGGGGATTCTAGTGTGCAACACTCTCGCTTCATTGAGAAGGCCCTCCCAACACTTGTTCCAATGCTGCTGGAAACATTATTGAAGCAGGATGAGGAACAGGACCAGGATGATGATATTTGGAATCTGGCAATGGCTGGTGGAACGTGTCTTGGTCTTGTTGCCAGGACTGTTGGAGATGCTGTTGTTCCCCTGGTAATGCCTTTTGTTGAGGCTAATATATTGAAGCCTGATTGGCGCTCACGTGAGGCTGCGACATATGCATTTGGCTCAATTCTTGAAGGCCCAAGCATTGAGAAGCTCTCTCCCATGGTCCATGCTGGATTAGATTTTCTTCTTAAGGCGATGAAGGATGAAAACAGCCATGTAAGAGATACCACTGCATGGACACTTAGCCGTATTTTTGAGTTTCTGCACACGCCATCTTCTGGGTTCTCAGTGATTTCGCCAGCCAACCTCCAGCGGATTGTCGGAGTGCTGTTAGAGAGTTTAAAAGATGCCTCTCATGTTGCCGAGAAAGTTTGTGGGGCTATCTATTTTCTTGCACAGGGATATGAGGATGGTGGGCCAAGCTCGTCTTTGCTCACACCATATATTCCTGAGATGATCACCTCTCTTATTTCCACAGCTGACCGGACTGACAGCAGTGATTCTAAGCTCAGAACTAACGCATATGAAACATTGAATGAAGTTGTTAGGTGCTCTAACCTTGTTGAAACATCTGATATAATTGCGAAGCTTTGCCCTGTTATCATGACTAAGTTGGCACAAACAGTAGAGCTTCAGATTGTATCCTCTGATGATAGGGAAAAGCAGGGAGATTTGCAGGCTTCCCTTTGTGGTGTACTCCAGGTTATCATTCAGAAGCTTAGCAATGCTGATGAAACTAAGCCCATTCTACTTCAGATTGCCGACCAGATCATGTTGTTGTTCCTAAAGGTATTTGCTTGTCGTAGCTCGACGGTGCATGAAGAGGCCATGCTTGCCATTGGCGCTCTGGCCTATGCAACTGGACAGGAGTTCTTGAAGTATATGCCAGAGTTCTACAAATATCTGGAGATGGGGCTGCAAAATTTTGAGGAGTACCAGGTGTGTTCCATCTCGGTGGGGGTTGTTGGTGACATTTCCCGTGCCTTGGATGACAAGATCTTACCATATTGTGATGGGATGATGGCACTTCTTCTGAAGGATCTGTCTAGCAGCGAACTTAACCGATCTGTAAAGCCTCCGATATTTTCCTGCTTCGGGGATATTGCTCTTGCCATTGGTGAACACTTTGAGAAATACCTCCAATATGCATTGCCTATGATGCAAGGTGCTTCCGAATTATGTGCACAGTTAGACAACAGTGATGAGGAAATGCTAGAGTATGGCAACCAGCTCAGGCGCAGTATTTTTGAAGCATATTCAGGAATTCTTCAAGGATTTAAGAATTCCAAGGCTGACTTGATGTTACCCCATGCTCCTCATCTCCTGCAGTTCATTGAACTGGTTGCTAAGGACAAACCAAGGTAATTTAGTTCGATCTTAGTGACATCGTCTTCTTAATGTCTCTGCAGCTTATTAATTCTAACAAGTGTATTGATTTTTTGTAGAGATGAAAGTGTGACCAAAGCAGCGGTTGCTGTGTTGGGAGATTTAGCTGATGCACTTGGTCCAAATATAACCACCCTTTTCAAAGATCGTGTATTCTGCGCCGAGTTGTTGGGCGAGTGTCTTCAATCTGATGATGAACAGCTCAAAGAAACAGCAGCTTGGACCCAAGGGATGATTGGGCGTGCCTTCTCTGTTTGTGGGTGAAGAAAGAGCTGATTCAAAGTATCAGTTTGCAAGAGAGTCATGTGTTTTCCTTCGTGTCAGCAGGGCAAAGTGTCTGGTCATCGTGTAGTAGATTTTATGAAACGATGAAATTCTTTTCATTGTTGGGGTATATACCCAAAGGGGGTCAGTTCTTTTCTATGTAGTTTCAAGGATTAAGACCACCTACTTGTGGTAGCCTGCTGTCATTTTGGACGTTGTCTAGTTCTATACATTACAAGATGACGGTTTATTTAGTACATCTTTTTGTAACTTTTTAATTCTTTCACTCCGTCACAGGGCTCTTTCTAAAATACCTAAAAACCGTATTTGGGAACCTATTCCATCTTTTACGAGTCATGCTTATTCTTTATAAATATAAAACGAATATTGGATTGTGTTGGAATCTGTTGAGGATTTCTTCATTTCTAATTATGGTAGATCATTGAATTAGCTTTCCATAGATTGTTTATTGCAGTGGCAATCTGCTTTTACGTTGAATATTTCGTAGTTAGCACTAAGCATACAGTACTTACAATATGACCCTCAGCCCAATCATTTGAGGTGAGCAGAACTCGGTTATTTAGTAGCATCAGATATTGTTGTTTGTTAAAATCCCATCACATCCTAGTGACTCTCTTTCCAAAGGTCTGCAAATTGAGCTGATTGTTGGGATCTGAATGTATATGTATGTTCTAATTAAATTGAGCTGATATCCCTCTTTTGCTTGACATCCATCCTTTTTGGGGCTTACTAATTCCAGTGGATTAGTTAACAAGACATAATTAAGTTCTTAAAAGTCAAGGAGGTGTATCAGCAATCAAGTAAAATTACAAAACCATTATTACCTTGGTTCTAGATTATGTTGGGTTCTTTTACTTAATACTTTAAGTTGACTTTTGACTACTTTAGATGTTATCTACTGTAAATTTTTGTTATACTTCCTTCCATTTTAGATATTTTTAGCAATCTTCATATCATTTCTATGATACTCAAAGATTCTTCATCTTACAATTGTCATTGACTTGTACAGATTACTTACATTTTCTTACAATTTTTGACAAGTAACAATTATGCTCAATATTACTGAATATTAAACGAAACATCTTTGTTAACTAGGTTGAGACAATCCATAGACACGAATTCATTCTACAATAATCCATACAATAGAGTAATATTATAGATTTCAGGATTCCTTCCCCATTCCTGATTCAAATAAGGAAATTGATATAGTAGAATGCAACTTTCTTTTTCAAGTCATCACTGCGTGAAGAATTGCAGACTTACAAGAATTCCGCTTCCCTTTCTTCCCAATATTTAGAGTAAAATTCACTTTACTCCCTTAACCTTCAGGGGTTGTGACCAATACCCCCCACTTTTTGAATGGGAAAGGGAATTCCCTTGTGCATTATTTTTCCGGTTAGAATTTCCTTTTTCGAGTGAAGGTTTTTTGTTCCTCTCTCTATCCTTTTATCCTTTTAAAGGTGAAGTGTAATATTTTTCATCCAAAACAAAACTTTAGTTTTGTCTTTCTTGCTTGAAAAAATTAAGACGTGCTTCTATTATATTGAGGTCATTGCTAAAATTATGGCAATAAAGTAAAAAAAATCTTATATACAAAATTCAAGAAAATATGCTGAACGCACACACATCATGGATGCTTTTAGCATTTCAATTTGAAGGGAAAAAAAAATATGGAAATAGTCAATTCTCTAAAATATATATTAGATAAAAGAATTGTTGCTATGAGTAATAATTTGTTTATGTATTTTCTTTGTATGTTAAAATTATTATGTTAAACCAATTATTGAACTTAACTTATTTTGAAAATATCTTTATTGAACAGAAATCATGGTTGACAATGACAAGGTCACATTGAAAATTCATTATGAATTGCATCATGCCTTAAACTATGCAGGAAGAAGGTTAAAGGTGCACTCAATGGAGTATATACTTCAGAAATGAAGCTATAAACTTCAAATATTTTGTGAAAGGGGGAAAACTAGCAAATCCATCCAAATGATGACAACAAAAAGTGTTCCAAATTATTACTCCAATACATCAAAACGATACATTAAATACAACACAATATTGTACGATAGATTATGAAACGATACATAACAACCCTCCAAACAAGCTGTACGACAAACTGAGACATCAACGCAGCAAGAGCGACCAAGTAAAATTGAAAAAGCTAATGTTTGACAAAAAGAAGGAGGACGTTGTTGAATTGAGGATGGTCCCATTCCAAAGATTCCCATTCTTTTCTAATCATTTTGATTTCTTCAAGTGCTGGAGGAGCTGATGGCTGCCCATTTATAAGAGGAAGAGTAAATGGAAGTCTCTTTGGATTCCCACAATGCCGAAATGTTATACGTTGAATAGAATCACAAGTCATTCTTCCCTTGTATATGCCGAGAATGTTTTCCAGATTTTCGACGTCTTTTTTCCAATTGTCAACCTCTGCCTTTCTTTTTTTGCTGGAATGAAGTTCTGCATCTTTTACTGCATCCATGATATCCTTTCTTCGACTGATCAATTGTTCTGTTTTTCTTTTAAGGATTTCGGCTTTTTTCTCAAATCCCATGTATGGATCCCATAAATTCAGTTTGACGAATTTTAAAATATATCCCATCCTTTATTTTTGATGAACACAAATACCTCCCCGCACATGATAGATGCTGTAGATGCTAAACAGGAGAAAACCAAACAAGAAATGAGAACATTGGACAATAATAAGATTTCACTTTACAATCAACTTTATAACATAAAAAAATGGTTTGCTACGATCAAATTTTGGATAAAAGAAGTAAAGCAATTTAATAATACACAAGAAAAAGGAAAGTAAAAGAAAAAAATCCAATGTTAAGATAGGATATTCGTTATTTTCTTCTTTCCCCTGGAATCTTCAATATTTGATCTTAGGTGCAGTCTCATATAATTGTATTTTGCAATTTCTCATTTACCGGATAACAATAAGTTGAAAAGCTGGTACTTGTGCAAGTAGTTTGTTTTCTTGTGTACAAATTTATTTTAATTAGTGTTATATCATACCTCCAAACAGACTAAGAAAAAAAGAACAATTTTCTTTTCTGCTGCCGTTTTACACATTTTATAGATGGATGCTTTATGCAAGAATAACAAGTCACGGATTAAACATATATAGAAGATATGTACCATTAATCAGTTCATCGATTATATTCGCATATAGAGAAAATATGTATAAAAGGCATGTATACATCTAAGGAACTTGCATATAAAGAAAATACACAAAGTCCAAACACTGATCAGTTTCCATAATCCGCGTGTACGTCATCAAATGAGAGGACGAACCAAGGGGATGGATCCTTATCCACACACTGCACAGATAACTCACGTGCCATAATCATAACATCCTAAAGGACGACTCACGTGCTCTCAATCCAGTCCATAGCAAAGAAAGCATAAACAGAACCACACGTATACAACAATGGATATCAACTCACATACTCGTGGACTGAGGAAAACAACATGCTAAGGTATATGCATGTGCGAAGTGTACAACTACAACTCAGATTAGGCGGGTATGCCATATAATAACGAGAATCATATTCAAACAGGATATCAAGGCCTATACATGATCTCTAGCATGTCAAGTAGTTCACGTAGTCATAAAAATGATTAAACATGAATCTTAGAAAGTACACATTGCAAACAAAGGCATAATAGAAGCCTACAGTCTAATTTGGTCGAAATCATACATAGCACTCGCATATGCGCTCGTCATCTCTCATATCCGTCACTTTTTACATATTCCAATTAGCCAAACAAGGTCATATCCTAAGGGTTATTCCCTCATAACAAGATTAGACAAGGTGCTACCTCAAACAAGAAAAATTAATACTCCAAGAACGCCTTTCCCTTAGAAATCACCTCCAACCAGCTCGAAACTAGCCAAAAATAACTCAATAACATCAAACAAAGTTAATCAATTCAAAACAATAAAGCTTCAATCTTTATTCAATTCCCAAAAAGTCAACAAAAGTCATACGGAACTCATATGGTCAAAACCCAGGTCAAGGGGTGGATCCCGACTACACATAACCTCACGAATCCAAATGTATGATTAGATTCAAAATCAAGTCCAAATCGACCCTCAAATCTTCAAAATTCACCCTCTTAAATTGTAATTAAAAGTCCTAATTTTCCTCAAAATTCAATGTTTTAGGTGTTAATAATCTATATAGATTCTTGAAATAACTCCATAAATGAGTAGAAATCTTTTACCCCAAAGTCTTGTACAAAAATCTCCAAGCAAAATCGCCCCTCTCCAAGTCTAGGGTTCAAAATATGATAGAATGGGCTAAAATCCTGAAATACAATACTTAAATGCACTGTCGAGGGGTACTCTTCGCAAACGTGGCTAGTGCGTCGTATTCGCGAAGCATAAAATCTGCTTCTACCAAAATCTCACTTCGCGAACGCGACGTAGCCCTTGCAAACACAAGGCCTTCGCCCCAGCCTCCTTCACGAAAGCGACGCCATCTGTGCAAATGCTAATATTCACATGCCTAGCCACTCCATGAATGCAACATGCTTTACGCGAATGCGAAGACTTCCTCTAGCTCCCAACATCCTTCTTCGTGAGCGTAGGAATCCTTCTATGAACGCGAAGAGAAACTGCCCCAACCCCAAAATGCGCTCCGCGATCGCGATGAAGGGCCTGACACGAGCAAAAATCTACAATACCAAAAATGCTCCGGGTGGTCCGAAACTTATCTAAGCCATCGAGGACCCATCCAATCATACCAACAAGTCCATAAGCACTACCCGGACCTACCCGAAGCTTCCAAACATATACAATAACATCACATCTACGAATCAACGATCAAATCACAAGTTGAACATCTTTTTTAAGTTCAAGAATTTCTAAACTTCCAACCAAGCGTCTGATTCAAGCCGAAAAAATTCGGTTCACAGTCAAACTTTGCACACAAGTTCCAAATAACAAAACAAATTTATTTTAAGTTTCGAAACAATAATCTGAATCTGATACCATCAAAGTCAAATCCTGGTCAAACTTATGAACTCTCCAAACCTTTAAATTACCAATTTTTGGCAAATAAAGCCAAATCATTCTAGGTTACTTCCAAATCTAAATCCGAACATACGCTTAAGTCTAAAATCACCATACGAATCTATTGGAACAATCAAATTACCAATCTGAGGTCGACTATTCAAAGGCCAAACTTTGATCGATTCTTACAACTTAAACTTCCAAAAATAAAACTAAGTGTTCCAATCCTTCCCGAAACAAACCCAACTATCCCTGCAAATTATTAAATATTAAATACATATACGAGAAATATCAAATAGAGGAACGGGGCTCAAATACACAAAATGATCGGCCGGGCCATTACATATGTATTCATGAATTGCACCTGTTTGGTAGTGAGTACCATTGACCACTATCGCCACTATCTCGCCGAGATTAGTCATGATACTTACTGAGTACATGAGATCGATCGTAATAATACAATACTCTACACTTAGTTGTACAGATTCAGTTGTAGGACCCAGCTGAGTGTTGAGCACGGTTGTTGTTGTCGAAACACGAGGTAAAGCTGCATCCTAATCGTAGTCGCCAGCATTCTTTTTATCCTTTTATTATTGTTATTATTTCAGATAGTGTATTGTATTAGCAGACTTGTATTCATATGATTGGAGCTCATGACTCGGTGTTACCAGTTTCTGGGATTGCTTGTAATGGTTTGGTATTTATCTATGCTTATTCGACTTTTAGACTCATCGATTTCAGTTTCCTTATTATTTTCTGCTATTGTTTTATGTATGGCTTGTCTAGCAAGTGGGTTAGGCGCCATCACGATCATCGGTAGTTTTGGATCATGACAAGTTGGTATCAGAGCCTTAGGCTCATAGGTTTTACGGGACATGAGCAAGTCTAGTAGAGTCTTGTGAATCGGTATGGAAACGCCTGCACTTATCTTCGAGTGGCTAAGGGGCTGTTAGCAAGACTTATCTTTCTTTCATTCTCTATCATGCAGATTTATTTTTTCTGAAGTTTGAATCTTTGCTATTCTATTCTCTTACAGATGGTGAGGACACATTCTTTCAGAGTAGCTGAGTAGGGACTAGTACCCCAGGCCAGGGCCGAGGCAGAGGCAGGGGTGGAGCACGCGTCGCGGTTAGAGGCCTACTAGAGCAGTCACTATGGACCCACCAGTAGCTCCTGTTGAGGAGCAGATTTCTTAGTACGTTGAGCTGCGGGAACCCGCTCAGGCACCTAAGAGACCTACTGCTACACCTGGACTTCAGGAAACTTTTACTTATATCCTGAGCATTTATGCGAGTTTGACTCGGGCTGGTATAATTCCGGTTGCACCAGCTACCTCACAGGTTAGGGGAGGAGCTCAGACTCCCGCCGCACACACACCAGAGCAGCTGGCTTCTATGTGCATAACTAGTTTTATCGATTTGACTGATGGTTGACTTTTAGGATTGATTTTGATTTTGATTTTGACTTTTTCTACAATTATAGAAATGGTTCACCTGGCATAATATGAATCTGTTATTCGATATTTTACATAGATTGATGGTATTTCAGGTCGTCTTGATGGATTTTGACGGTTCAAAACAAGTAAAGCTTATCGATTTTAAGGCAAGTGAGACTTCTAACTTTTCGAATGCTTGTTTCTCCAAAGGCATAATTTAAGACTTGCATAAATGCCTTTATATGCCTAGTATGTTGAGGTACGAGTGCGTGCTAGGACATTTATACCGATTGCTTATAAACTCTTTTTTAACCGTGACGTCCGGATCAGCTTGCACATATCGACTAATTCAACAGGATATCTTCTAACTCCCACCAAATATAAGATAACTCTGTCCAGCAATGCTTGGACAGAAAATTGCAGTATTTTAAAAACACATAAGTTGCATAGAAAGTTAGGGACACAAATATGGATAACTTAATGAACATGTTATTTATCCCGAATCTCAGGGTTCTATGCTTATATGCTATATAGCGAGTTATTTCTCTTATGATTGAGTTATAAAGCATGTTCTATAACGTTCATGATAAACTGATTGGTATACTAGTTTGCACTGATTAGGAAGCATGTTATGATATGTGTTATTTATATTTGTGTATAAGATTCATAACATGTGATTTTGTATATATCATTTTTTTTGGTAACAATGTGAATTACCATTAACTTCAATCATCATTTACACTTATAGAGCACCTGATTTCCTGAATAGAAATTAGGCCTCCAACAAACAGAAAAAGAACTAATTACAAGTGATTTGTCTAATGAACTCCCTACATTTCTGTGCTTTTTTTTGACTTTTGCAGTAAATCTATTCTTTCTATCACTTCTCGTTTGATTTGTATAACTGTCTCTTCTGTATTTACAGTCCTGCCTTGAAAGATTTTTATGTTTCTTGCTCTCCATGTATAGTAAACCATTGCTAAGTGCACTGCTGCTATGACCTCTTTTTTGAATTGCTTCTAGTGTTTCTTTTTAATCTGCTCCAGCATTTGCCTCACTCCTGTAATTTGTGCATCATGCCTTGTCCTTCTGCTCAGTTCTTGCTTTACTGCTACTATCCATCCACATTGCACAAACAAGTGCTCCTGAGTTTCCACTGCATCCTTATTACACAATATGCAATTAACATTTTCAACCTGTATCTGCATTCCAATCATTCTATCCTTTGTCAACAGTTTCCCTAGTGTTGCCAACCACCCTATGAACCTGTGTTTTGGTTGAGCTACTGCTGACCATACCAGATCTGCTGCTTCCATTTTCTGTTGTCTCCCAATTAGTGCAAGATAGCTTGAATTAATAGAGTACTTCCCAGTAGGATTAAGAATATATCTGCCCTGTGAGTACCACTCCCTCATCCCTTCTTTAACTGAATTTAATTTCCTCCAGTACCAGCTACTGTCTAAAGGTGGAGAATGAGTCCATATGTCTGGATTAGTCTTCATGTACACCCCATGAACCCACCTTACCCATAGAGACTCCTTGTTTAGTGCTAGCTGCCATACCAATTTCCCAACTGAGGCTATGTTTCATTCCTTGCATCCCTTTATATTTAGCCCACCCATGTTTTTGGACAGCAAACTTTCTCCCATGCAACCAAAGCAACCTTCCTCATCTCCTCCTTTCCCCCCCACAGATATTCTCTGCATAACCTATCTACTCCTTTCACCACACTTTGAGGGAGGATAAAGACATTCCCCCAGAAGCTGTGGATAGAGAATAGCACAGCATTAACTACTTGAAGTCTTCCAGCATATGATAGTTGTTTGGAGTATGTAACACTGATTCTTTGTGTGATTTTCCCAATCAGCATCTGGCAGTCCATCTTGTTCCATCTCCTAGGTGATAGAGGTAATCCTAGATATTTGATAGGAAAAACTCCTTCAGTGAATTTAGTTCTTCTCAGCAACTGGTTTTTGATTTCATCTTCAACTCCAGCTACAAAGATGTTTGACTTCTCCATGTTAGCTATCAAACCTAAAACTCTATTGAAGTGATCTAATGTTTCCATCACTCTATTCACTGAACTAGTATTGCCTTTACAGAATATCATCAAATCATCAGCAAAAATAAGATGAGTCAGTTTGCTCTCCTTGCACATGGGATGAAATCTGAAATCTGGTAACCTGCTTATTATACTCAAGGTTCTTGACAAGTATTCCATAACCAGGACAAATAACAATGGTGACATTGGGTCACCTTGTCTCAATCCTCTTTTGCCATCAAAATATCCATGTCCTTCTCCATTTACTTTAACTGTGAACTTTGCAGTAGAAACACATACCATTATCCACTGTATAAATCTATCTGGAAAGCCATATCCTCTCAATGCTTCCTCTAGAAACTCCCAGCTCACCATATCATAGGCCTTTCTTAGATCAATCTTCATTAGGCATCTAGGTGTAGTCCTCCTGTTATAATGTCTCAGTAGGTCATGACATATTAGAACATTGTGCATCATTGATCTTCCTTGTACAAATGCTGATTGGTTTTCTGCTACTATGTGGTTGATTGCAGGCGTCAGTCTAGAACAAATCATCTTTGATATACATTTGTATAGCAGATCACAGCATGCAATAGGTCTGAATTGACTTGCATTCTCAGGAGCCTCCACCTTAGGAATCAAAGCAATGTTTGTAGTATTGATTTGTCTCAGCAGTTTTCCATTTTGAAAGAACTCCAGTACTGCTTCTGTTAGCTCATCTCCCACTATTGACCATGCAGCTTTGTAAAAACCACTCCCATATCCATCTGGACCAGGACTCTTATTACTATCTATCTGAAACATGGCTTGCTTCACTTCCTTCCTAAAAAATGGTTGTATTAGTTCCCCTTGTTGAGTTTCTGTTAGTCTGCTTCCATTTCTGATTATACTCCTGAAAGTCACCACTCTATTATTTGTTGTCCTCCCTAGTAGGTTCTCATAATATTCAACAAATGTGTCTGCTATTCTGTCTGGATCAGTTATCCAATTCCCTGAACTGTCTTTTATCTGTGTGACTGCCTGTTTCAATTTCCTGTGTTTGATTACTGAGTGAAAGTACTTGGTATTATTATCTCCCAATCTTATCCATATAGCTTTACTCTTTGTTGTAAGTATTCTTCAGCTAAGTAGGAAGAATTCCCGAATTTTTTGATATGCTGCAGCTTCAATTTGTTGGTACTCCACATTTGCTGGATTCCTCTGCAATTGTTCTTGTGCCTTCTTTAGCTTTTCTCTATCTTCATTTGTTTCTGTCAGGATATTATTGAATGCCTGTGTATTTAATGCTCTAAGTCCCTTCTTTAACATCTTCAACCTTTTGACAACCTTGAACATTTTACACCCTTCCAGATTGATCTCCCAGACTTCTCTAACTATCTTCATGAAATTTGGATGCTTTGCCCAATTGTTGCAGTATTGAAAGGCCCTTTTTATTCTTTGTCTTTCTTCTACCATGGTCATCTTTGCTGGACAATGATCACTTATTCCTTCATTCAAAAACCTAGCAGCACACTCTGGCATAGTATTAAGCCACTGGTTATTTATAAAGATCCAATCAATTTCGGAAAATATCCTATGCTCCTCATGTTTATCACTCCAGGTATATCTGTTCCCTTGTGCAGGCAATTCCATTAATTCACACTTCATTATACAGTTATGCAAGTCCACCATTTCAGCCCATGATACTTCCTTTCCTCCTATTCTGTCCTCAGCATTTAACATTGTATTGAAATCCCCTCTTACCATCCATGGCTTGCTACATCCTTTACTATGTTTGATTAACCCTTCCCACAGTTCCTTTCTCTCTTCCTTAGTATTAAAAGCATAAACATATGTAATCTCAAATGCTAACTTTAATGGAATATACACTACTTCACATGTTATTGCTTGAGCAGTTTTCTCCTTAGGCAATACCTTATAGTAGTCTGGCCTCTATGTGATCCATATTCTACCATTATAATGACATTCCAGATTTGTTACATATTGCCAACCTGCAAACATCTTTTCTGCTATCTTCTCTATTCTCTCTTTTTTGATTTTTGTTTCTAACAAACCTATCAACCTTATCCTTTCCTCATTGCAAAGGAGTTTAGTCTCCTTTTGCTTATTAGGGGCATTAAGCCCCCTTGTATTCCAGCTTATTAGACTAACCATCCCCATTTTGAGGGATGTTTAGACCACCCACATTTCTGACTTCGTCCCCTTCTTTATTCATTTTCTGCTCCTCTTGCTTGTTGAGTATCTGAAAAGAGTTAGACTCTTCCATTTGTTCCTTCTGCCTCACCACAGATTTACCAAACTTATTAGGTGTTTGCCATTCCTGATCTCCTTCTTTTTCCTTCTGTGCTCCTTGATTCTTGACTACATATTGTTGATTTTTCCTTATGATTCCTTTTCCTGCATCATTCGCCTTCTCATGTCTATCTGCTTTCTGAGCTTCCTTGTTCACTTTGTTTGCATTTTGTCCTTGATCTTGCCTCTCCTCCTGTGTAGCTGCCACCTTTTCCTTGTTCATTGTTTCAATCTTTTGAAATTTCTTCTTGATTCTGCACACATCTTCCTCGTGCCCATACTTAAAGCAATGTTTACTTAGAGATGGTTTCCAGTCATAACTGACCTCCTGCTCTATTATTTTACCTTTCTCATTTCTGAACTTCACCACATCAGGTAGTTTTGTATTCATTTCAACCTCCACCAACAACCTTGCAAACTTCAAGCCAATTCTCTTCTCTGTATTTTGATCAACCATTAGAGGTTTCCCAATCAAGCTTCCTATCTTACTTAACCCTTTTTGACTCCAATATTTGAAGTCCAGACCTGGTAACTTGATCCAAATTGGTACTGTCAATAGTTCTTCTTTAGTGAACTCCAACTCAGGTGTCCAACCTTTGACAATAAGTGGTTTATTATCGAAATGGTATATACCCCCCTCAATTACCTCTTGTTTCCCTATTGCAGTATCAAATCTTACAACAATTACTCCATTTTTTAGCATCACTATTCTATCTACTCCATGTTTACCCCACATCCTTTGTATGTAGCCTTGAATTACTGCAAATGGTGGATGAGCCCCAAGCACGTAACATATCATAGCATTTTTCCAGTATTCCACTTCTGTACTTATGTCATCTAATTCAATTTCAACAAAATTTATCTCACCAGTCATTTTTGGTTGGACGTACTCCAGTTTGTATCCAGCGTTTGATATTTTTGCAATATCAAAGTTGTCCCACACTGAACTCTTCTTCCCCTGTTCTTCATTCACCTCCTCTGCTTCATCAGCCCATGACTTCCTTCCTTCTCGCGCATGCAATGTTGGACTACTGCTTGTTGATGCTTCCTGAACTTCTTCCCATACTTGAATTGCTTCGATTTCCTTTTGCTTTCCATTTCCCAGCTTTCCTGGTACTATTTCATTGATATTAGGGCTCAATTGTTTACCTCCAAAATTTTCAGTTACTGCTGCACTTTCCTTAGTTCCTCGTTGATTTTTGCTTCGTAATTCAGCTGCTTCCTTCGCCATTAGTGCTCTCTGAGGCGGGATCCGTGCTCTGTTACCCATGGTAGGCGCAAATTAGTTAACATGCACCGAGAGAGAGAATTGCCATTTTAGAGAGAGAAAAATCTTACTGTATTACGTACCATTCTTAAGTTCTTTGACTAGATTAGACGTCTATATCATTTGATATTGTTAGTTTGCACTTTTTTTCTTATGTGCTTTGATTGATGAGTTGATGATATAACCTTATCATTCTTATTTCCTTCTTACTTATATGACTTTTTGGGATTCACCAAATATAAAAGTTCTCCTTTTCATGAAAGCGGAATAAAAGGACATATAGAACTATCACCACCTTTTATTTTGTTATTGGTAATTTTGGTACATTTCATATATGTAACTTATGTGTTAAAAGTTATCCTTTTTTATACTCTATATCTAATCAAATATCACTACATAATCTAAAATCATCATCATCATTATTGAGTGGAAATAGGATTAATTTGCAATTTTCTTGTTTCTCTTCTTCTTTTATCATTTTTCGCTTATTTTTGAAAAAGAGTTATGGCTCATGAGTGCAGGAAAATAGTTCTTTATAAGAAGATAAATGAATAAGAAAGCTATAACAAACAAGAGTTACCTTCAATTGGTGAAGACTAATATGTATTTTAGGAGAAAATTCTGGTGGAAGAAATGTCTGTAAGGGTGAAATTGAGCTGTCGAACCTGGAAACATCACAACTCATCAACAACAAATTAAATTTTAAAAACTATTACTGCTAACTGGAGTATTTCTTTATTCAAGAAAAGTTTCTTTAAAAAACAATTATACCCTTAATGTGATTGATACAATAAAGATAAGATAAATCAAAAACAAAAACATGACAAAATTATTCTCTAGTTGAAATGTCTTAAAACACGTAAGTTTGACATGTGAATTAAAAGTTTGTATGATGCTTCATCTTTATGTATGCTCTTAATGTGATCGATCCAATTAATCTCAAGAATTTAAACCAAAAAAAAGGATAATCCATACACACACATCCCTTCACATACACACACACATCATATATATATATATATATATATATATATATATATATATATATATATATATATATATATATATATATATATATATATATATATATATATA